CTGGGAGGCGGGGGCAGTGGGGGGCTGGGGGACTCAGTGGAGGGGCGGGGCAATGGGAGGCAGTAGGGGGTTGCTCCAATGTGGTGAGTGAATAAATGATCAGTGTGTCCCCCCCCCAGGGTTGGGGCACAGTGGCTTTTTCCCCTTTGAATATCAAGCACACCCACCCACCACCCCCCAGCCCCCCTGGATTTTTGTGGGGTTTTGGGGGGTGGTTGACTTCCTTGCAAGGACTTGACTTTGTTTGGCTTTTTAATCCACGTTTTCAACAGGGGTTGCGATGTTGAGGAGGAAATGGGTGGATGAAGGGAGGGGGCAGGGGTCTCTCTTTCTCCCCCCCCCCACTTTTCTTTGTCCCCCCCCCAGCCAAGAACCAAGAGGATATGTATGGCCTCGTGGCCGCGTCCTGCAGAATTGTGGATGCGGCTGGGCTGATGGCCAGGGCCGTCCAACAGCAGCACACGTGGCCAGCCATGTCAGCAGCCAAATGGTTCTTCCTGCCCTGCAAGGCTGAGGCCCCTTCCCATCCAACCCAGATAGCTAGCTGTCTGTCTGTCCATCCATCCATCCATCCATCCATCCATCTCTTATCTATCTGTCTCTTCATCCATCTCTGTATTTATCTACCTCTTCATCTTTCTCCCTTCTTCTTCTTCAATCAATATAGCTATCTCTCTTCCCTTCCCTTTCCTTTTCTCCCTTCCTGTCTTGTTTTTCTGTCTTTCTCTTTTCTTCCTCAAAGGGTTTCAGTTCTACCAGTCAGATGAGGCGGACAGTGCGTCTCGGTCAGTGTCACCCCAACTTCTTCTACAAGAAGTGAATTTTGGGCTTGGCTATAGCTGTGATTGGGTCAGCATCCCTCCATCCAGGATTCTCTGCGCCTTGTTTCATTTCTTTCCTTCTTTCTCTTGGTTGATTGTGGAGCTTGAACTCAGGGTCTGGGGTGCTGGCCCTGAACCTCTTTGTGCTCAGGGCTGGCGCTCTACCACTTGAGCCACAGCACCACTTCGAGTTTTGGAGTGGTTCGTTGAAGGTAAGAGTCTCATGGGGACTTTTCTGCCCTGGCTGGCTTCAAACCACGATCCTCCCATCTCAGCCTCCTGAGTAGTTAGGATGACAGGTGTGGCCCTCTGGCACCTGGGTGGGCCTTTCATTTCTAAGTCAGCATTACAGTGTTTCCTTTTCTTTCAATAGGACATTGCCATTTTTCTACTCCTTTGTGGTCATCTTAAGGATTACTTGTCTTTTCTGTTTTGTGAGTCTGTCTGTGTCTATGTGGGTCCTGTGGCCTGAACTCAGGGCCTGGGTGCTGTCCCTGAGGTGTTTTTTGTTGTTGTTGTTCAAGGTTGGTGCTCTACCACTTGAGCCAGAGCTCCACTTTGGGCTTTTTGCCAGTTCATTGGAGATAAAAGTCTCACTGGGATGGCATCAAACCATGATGCTCAGATCTCAGCCTCCTGAGTAGCTGGGATGGCGGGTGGGAGTGGCATGCACACATTTATTTATTTACTTATTTTCTGATCTATCATTTCTGGCAATTGAATGGAAGCATTTCCATGCCTTTTGCCATGTGCTTCCATACAAATCAGTCTGCTTAATTATGTTATGAGCTTTGCAAACCCAATAAATTGAGCTGCAAAAGAAATTCAATATATCATCATAAGAAAAGTGACAGAAATCAGGCTTGCTCCTGCATCTGCTGTTAAAAACGTCTGTGCTGCTAGGCGCTGGTGGCTCATGCCTGTAATCCTATCTACTCAGGAGGCTGAGATCTGAGGATCACGGTTCAAACCCAGCCAGGGCAAAAAAGTCTGTAAGACTCTTATCTCCAATGAGCCACCAGAAAACCAGAAGTGGAACTATGGCTCAAGTGGTAGAGCGCTCCCCTTGAGCTGAAGAGCTGAGGGACAGCGCCCAGGCCCAGAGTTCAAACTACAGGACCGATTTAAAAAAAAAAAAATGGTCTGTGCTTTTCACTGTACCCCTCTAGCATCCAAGAAGACACGTGATTAAGCCTGAGATCTTGGGGGGATCTGAGGGCAGTGTGAGGTTGAAAAATAGGATTTATCCTATGCACAAAGATTCTCTGGAATTGAAGACTTACATCCTTCCAAAGTCCAAGAGAATGGATTTAGCCAAGCACGGTGGCTCCCTCCTGTCATCCCAGCTACACAGGAGGCCGAGATCTGGAGGATCGTGATTCAAAGCCAGCCGGGGCAGGGAAAGTCCGTGAGCCTCTGATCTCCAACGAACCACCGAAGAGCCTGCAGTGGGGGTGTGGCTCAAGCGGTAGAGCATCAGCTTTGGAAAGCACCCAGGCCCTGAGTTCCAGCCCCAGGCCCAGAACTAAAGAAAGTGAGACACTTTGGCTAGAGTAGCATAAGCAAAGAAGGTCCCGAGTCACTCAGCTACTGCGAAGCAATGCGTGAGGAACCAGCCTTCATTCTGCTGACTTGCAAGAGGTGGGGGGCGTGGCTAGGTGCTGCTGGGGGCGTGGCCAGGCCCTGCCCAAGGCCAGAGCATTGTGTAAGGGAATTCTGTAATGGCACCATCCCCCTGTATAAAAGAAACAAGAAGAAAAGCCAAGATTCACTCCTGAGGGTGAGCCGGGTGGAGGTGTTTTCCACGTGTCTGAAGTTGCGACTGCATTTTGTCGTGGTGAAAAACATTCTACCTTGGTACTTATTGCATTGGCGTCTAGTTGATTTCTATTTATTTATTTCATTTGTTGTGACTACCGTTATTCCTAGGGCTTGAACTCGGCCGCCTGTTAGCTTTTTGACTTGAAAAACAGCTCCACTTTCTGTCTTTGTGGTGATTCATTGGAGATAAGAGTCTCAAAGGCTTTCCTGCCCAGGCTGGCCTCGAACCTCGGTCCTCAGATCTCAGCCTCCTGAGTAGCTGGGGTGACCGGCGGGAGCCACCAGCACCTGGCTGTCACAGATCTTAATCAGTGTCCTGTTGGAGTTCACCTGCAATTTGGGAGATCTGGTTCCTTGTGTCTGCCAGAGGAAAACTTTTCTGAGCTTACAGGGATGAGCACGAAGCTCATCTTTTTCTGCTTCCCTAACCACAGAACTTAACATTGCAGAAATTGGCATGGGCCTCACCGGGTTTGGAGTTTTCTTCCTGTTCTTCGGGATGATTCTCTTCTTTGACAAAGCCCTATTGGCCATCGGAAATGTGAGTGTCTCGATGGATTTATTTCATCTCAATTTATAAGGAAGTTTTGGGGGTGAGGTGTGTGTGTTTAGTTGATTTTTGGTGCTTGGAACTTGAACTTGGGGCTTGGACACCATCCCTAAACTTTTCTCCACAAGGCTGGCACTCTTCCACTTGATCCACGGCTCCCTTTTTGGCTTTTTGGTGCTTTATTGAAGAGTCTTAAGGACTTTTCCTGCCCAGGCTGGTTTCAAACCCTGGTCCTCAGATCTCAGACTCCTGGATAGCTACGATGATAGGAGTAAGCCACTGGTCCCTGGCTCATAAGATGAAGTTTTACCTCCACATTTTACCCGCTGTCCAATTTGGGAGAAATGACTCACTGTGACTCACGCATAATTACTTTGACATCGTTTCTCTCTCTCGCTCTCTCTCTGTGAGGAGCCTAACCTGTCAGCAGCTTAGATAGAAGATAAACACTTAAGCTCTAATTCCTTAACTATGTCAGGTATTTGTAATGTGTTCAAGGGAAGCAGACTCTAAGTAGGACTTCCCAAATAAATGACCTGATTGATAGTGCTTGCCCCATCAAAAAAAGCAGCATTGAGGTTTTCACCCTGTGAATAGTATTATCATTCCTTCAGCTAGAACAGGAAGAGAAAGGAGAAGTAAAATGGCTGTAATTAAAACAAGTTTTATTAAAAATGAAGTATTCTGGTAAGTTCCAGAATTCTCTTGCCTGTAAACTTCTGAGATGTCAAATTGGATTGAACTGAATAAAATAAACAGGGTGTGTTTGTGCACGTGTGTGTGTGTGTATGCACGCATGCGTGCGCGTGTGCTCGCTCATGTCAGTACTGGGATTCTAACTCAGGGCCACCCAGCCTCTGTGGCTTTCCCACAAACTTTTCTGCCCAGGCTGGCTTCCAACTGCAATCCTCGGATCTCAGCCTCCTGAGCAGCTGGGATGACAGGCATGCGCTGTGGGTGCCCAACAGACACACAGAGATTTTCATTAGTCGCCAGGTCTTGTGCACAGACAGGAGATCACGTAGAAAATAGGAGTGTTTGGAAATCGCTGGGTGTGTTGTTATTTCTCCAGCCACCAGGCTCGTGGGATTCATGAAACCATCTTCTTCCAGGCTTTGCTTTCTTCCTTCCTCTGTCCTCCCAGCTGGACTGCCTCTCCCCTGTCCACAGACACTCCCAAGGCTCATGGCAAACACGTGGGAGCCAGCCAGGCACCGGCGGCTCACGCCTGTAATCCCAGTTACTCAGCCGGCTGAGATCTGCAGATCCCAGTTGGAAGCCCGCCCAGACAGGAAAGTTCAGGGGACTCTGAGCTCCAGTCAGACACCAAAAAGCCAGAAGTGGAGTTGTGGCTCAAGTGGTAGAGCACTAACCTTGAGCAAAAATGCCAAGCGAGAGTATGTGAGACTCTTGAGTGCAAGCCCCAACACTGCACAACAATGGGTGGATGGGTGGATGGATGCTGGGTGAGTGAATAGCTGGGTAGATGGAGGGATTGGTGCATGGATGGATAGATGGGTGGGTGGATAGATGCATGCATGCATGCATAGACGGATGGATGGATGGATGGATGGATGGATGGACGGATGGATGGGGGAGTTGATGGATGGATGAGTTGGTGGGTGGATGAGTTGGTAGGTGGATGGATGGATGGATAAAATTCCAACAGATTCACTCCCTTTACTTACATTCATGGCTGTGCCCTCTCATATTTATGCAGTATGTCTAGACTACTCTTTTCCTGTGTTGATGTTTTCTCTCTTTCCCAGGTTTTATTTGTGGCTGGTTTGGCTTTTGTCATTGGTTTAGAAAGAACGTTCAGATTCTTCTTCCAGAAACATAAAATGAAAGCCACAGGCTTTTTCCTGGGCGGTGTGTTTGTGGTCCTGGTCGGCTGGCCTTTGATAGGAATGATCTTCGAAATCTATGGATTCTTTCTTTTGTTCAGGTGAGGTCGCCATTTTCTTTCCCGGTAGGAAGCGAGCCTGTCAGGTAACTCATGCACAGGTGCCCGTGTTCACGTCCGTGTTTGCGAGAGGATCATGTATTCGGTGCTCTTCTGTTTGGGTTGAGTCTTCTTTTATGATTGTTCTTGTTACTGTCAAGGTGATGTACAGAGGGGTTACCGTTTCCTAAGTCAGGTAAGGAGGACATTTCTTTTGGGACAGTGTAATATCTTCTCTCTCTCTCCCTTCTCTTCTTATAATTGGAGATCCGTCAATTATAAAAATGTTTGCAGAATATAGATACATTATAGACTATATAATACAGGCTGCCTTAGGAAAGGTATAAACTGCCCTTTATTTCCAGTGCAGTAAAGTGCATTTTGTTGGCATTTTTAATACACTGAGGGAGAGAGAGAAAGAGAGAGATTCTAACACGTAGAGAGACATACATACATACATGATAGAATAAGTAGACAGATCATTAGGTAGACGATTGATGGAGTAGGTAGACTAGATAACTGGATGAATAAGATAGGTAGACAGGTAATAAATGACTAAATTCATTAATGGATAGAGAAAGGTAGATTTCAGTGTAAATATCTGGCACTTTATAATTACAGACTCTCGATCACAGTGTCATTAGTGTCTACACGTAGTGGAAAAGTCAGTATTGCACACACTAGCCAATTTCGTGGAGTTCATGTTTGGAAAGAGCTAGTTAGTAAGTAAATAGCATGGAAAAGAGAAAATACTTGCAAGTATAGTTGGTCTGCATTGTTTATTCAAGAAGTGTATATCCCTCTTCTCCTCTATCTATGACTCTGAATTGTCCCTAAGATACAGAAGAGAAAGAATTAAATGCTAAATCGGCTCTCAAGAATCTCAAGTCTCAAGCCAGGCCCCAGTGTGTCACGCCTGTAATCCTAGCTGCTCAGGAGGCCAAGATCTAAGGATCCAGATGTAAAACCAGCCTGGGCAGGAAAATCCATGAGGTTCTTATCACCAGTTAATTAGCCACCAAAAAGCCAGAAGTAGAGCTGTGGCTCAAGTGGTAGAATGCCAGCCTTGAGAAGAAGGGGAAAAAAAATCCTTTTGAACTTAATACTACTAGAAAATCATAAGAGACCTGTTTCTTTAAAAAAAAAAAACGTTGCTTTCTTTATTTGACTTTATTTTGATACATTGATTTGCCTTTCCACAGATTCATATTCCTAATGGTAGCATTCAAATATCTTCACTCTGTGTACCTAGTTTTAAGACCCAGGAAAAGTTCATCTCCTATGCATTGGCTTTATTTTTGTCTTATTTATTTTTGAAACTCAAGATACTCACAAGTACTAGGGCTTGAACTCAGGGCCTGGGCGCTGTACCTTAGCTTTTTCCCTGAAGGCTGGTGCTCTACCACTTGAGCCACGGCTCCACGCCAACTTTTTTGGTGGTTCATTGCAGATAAGCGTGTCTAGGACTTTCCTACCCAGGCTGGCTCTGAACTGCGATCCTCGGATCTCAGCCTCCTGAGTAGCTAGGATGACAGGCAGGAGCCACTGACATTCAATAGATCTTTCTCTTCAATTTGCTTTGAAGCCTTGCCGAGTGTTAATAACCTTTTCCGTGTTTTCTTTCCCATCTCCCAGGGGTTTCTTTCCAGTGGTGATTGGCTTTATTAGAAGAGTACCAGTTCTTGGGTCTCTCTTAAATCTGCCTGGAATTAGATCAGTAAGTAACCACATCTTTAGCCGTCGATTTTAAACCACCCAAAAAGAAAAACAGCCCCACGCTTTTTCACTTGTAGAAATTGGAGCCATCAATAGATGGTAGATTCCAGAACGTTTCCATTCTGATATCAAAGATTGCATCTCTGGGATCAAAGTGACGGTGAATAGCAGACAAGAATCATTGCTTCTGCTTATCAAACCTGAAATAGAACCTCATTGTATCCCTTTTTTACTATTCTTGTCTATTTTTGAATGTTGACTCAAATCGCCAGCAGTAGCTGCCTCTAAGGGTAGAGGCTACAGTATTAAAAATAAGAGGCATCTGTCATCCTAGCTACTCAGGAGGCTGAGATCTGAGGATCACGGTTCAAAGCCAGCCAGGGCAAGAAAGTCCATGAGACTCTGATCTCCAATAAACCACCAGAAAACCAGAACTGGAGCTGTGGCTCAAGTGATAGAGCGCCAGCCTTGAGTGAAAGAGCTCAGGGACAGCACTCAGGCCCTGAGTTCAAGTCCCACAGCCTACCAAAAGAATAATAATAACCAGAGCAAAAGAGGACTGGAAGCGTGTCTCTAGTGGTAGAGCTCCTGCCTAGCAAGCATGAGTCCCTGAGTTTGCACTCTAGTACCACGAAAAAAAGAAAAAGAAAATGAACTTAACTAGGCTAGGCTCATAGGGTTATATCCTGAATTTATTTGCATTCATCTCCAGACGCGCATAGTAGTTGATCAACGTTTGTTGATGTTCACAAAGACTTTCGGGTTTGTTGAAATCTGTAGTCATCGGCATTAGAAGAATCTTGCTTAAAAACAATGTATCTTGATATCATTCCTTTCGTTATAATCAATGCCTGAGTTAAAAAGACTGAAAGGGAAAAAAGAAAAGAAATTTTTGAACAGAGCGCTGGTGGCTCATTCCTGTCAACCCAGCTACTCGGGAGGCTGAGATCTGAGGATTAAGATTCAGAGCCAGCGCAGGCAGGAAAGTCCATGAGACTCCGATCTCCAGTGAATCACCAAAAAGCTGGAAGTGGAGCTGTGGCTCAAGTGATCAAAAGACAGCCTTGAACCAAAAAACAAACAAAAAAAAAAATTCAGGTTTGGGTGCCGGTGGCTCCCGCCTGTCATCCCAGCTTCTCAGGAGGCTGAGATCTGAGGATCGCAGTTTGAAGCCAGCCTGGGCAGGAAAGTCCATGAGACTCTCATCTCCAATTGAACCACCAGAAAAGCGGAAGTGGTGCTGTGGCTCAAGTGGTAGAGTGCCAGCCTTGAGTGAAAGAGCTCAGGGACAGCGCCCAGGCCCTGAGTTCAAGTCCCAAGACTGGCACACACACACACACACACACAAGATTGTAACTGTGGGTCTTGTAACCCAGTGTGTTTAATATCGCTACTATAATTATATCATGGCACTCAGACTGCTAAGAAAAATGAAATTTCTCTTTTTGTGGTGGGGAAGGGGCAGGTAAAATAACAAGTCAGTCTCCTGAATGTGTGTGCAAGTGAATATCTAATCTAGTACAAATGTATGTTTGCAACATGTAAATGTATTTTAATGCCATGCCATTTTAGTGTAAAGTCCGAATATACATTTAAAAATTATCTTCCTTAGTCAGTAGCCGCTGTTAACTGTTGAACTTTAACGGAGTGAAATCTGTTTGTTCAAAGACAGCATAGGCCAAGAAGAGACAGCACTTGATGGTCAGTTGAAATATCTTACTGGGCTCATTAATGCATGAGTGGCTGACATTTCAACTTTGTTTTAATTTTTAATTTATTTTTTTGTTAAGCTAACGATGTTGACTTCATTATAGTCAGTGTCCATTTTAGTCATTGTGTTGCATTGGTTTTTGGGTTTTTGTTTTTGTTTTTTTTTTGTCATGTTGCACTCTTAAATTCATCCGTATACCGTGTCATGCAAAGACAACTTTTTTAGAACAAAACGTGTTGTAGACATGTACGTTGGGAAGATGGCGGTAAGTAGCACCTAATTTAACCGTTGTCAGTCATCCAAACTTCCCACAAACCTTCTTGTAAAGCTGGATTTTTTTCTTAAAGCAACATTTTTATGGAGTTGAATCGTGTGATCCTGCAATTAGGGGGAGCTCTAATGCTGCTTTTCTTCTTGCAGTTTGTAGATAAAATGGGAGAAAGCAACAATATGGTGTAAACACACCCAAGAAGACTCTTTTAAAATATTGTGTTATTTATAAAAACAAACAAACAACAAAAACACAACAGCCCTTTGAAGAATCTTCAGCACAAAGTTGGTGACAGGAAATAGCTTGTCACGTGCTGTCTGGAAGTTTTGAAACTACCAAGCACCAAGGAGGAGCCGCCTTCTGATCAAGTGATCTTAAGAACTTCAGCTGGGGCAGGGCGGAGTGAAGCCTGTTACGACTTTCTAGAACTTTCCACAAGCTGCGAAACACAACCATCCATCAACAAGTGATGGCTCCTGTTACTTTTGATGTTCTTTTCCTACTATTATTTGGGTTTTGCTGTTGTTGTTTTTAAGATTCAAGAGCATCATAGGAAGGTTTTTGTTGTTGTTGTTTTATGTCCGATGTGTTGGGGGAAAAAAATGTTTCCCTGTGCGCTGAGTCTCTTAACCAAGGGACGGCGTTGGGTGACGTCATTTTCAAGGAAAACCCCACTTTTGCTATCAAAATTCCTTTTTTTTCTCTCTCTCAAAAACCAGGTTAAAATAAAAACTGTGGTTCTGTATATTAATGTTCTCAAACCAGCAAAAAAAAAAAAAAACAAATCCAATCTTTGCTGGAACACCTTAGAGTCATTGTTTAGTAGGTTTTGGGGGGGGGGGAATTTTGTTCCTAAATTAGAGCTATCTCAGTTATAACCATATTATTTGTATGTATCATCCCACCGAAGCCAAAAGCATTCTAGAACATGCTATCGTCTGTTACACCCTTGTTCGACTGAATCATTTCTTTGTCGAGATGCTAAGTGATGTGGAAAGCAAATGGTTTTTCCACATCTTGCTGTCATTTCTTGTCTTTTGTTTTTCTTCTTTAATCTGTTGCTTCCAAAATCCGACAATAGCCCAGCAATCGTAATTCAATCAACTGCCCAAATTAATTGCTGCCCTTATCAAATTAAATGCCTAAGTTAAAATAACGTGGATGGTTAAGATTGGTACCATGTTCTAGAACTTAACAACTGTTTTCAGAGGTCTGTCCATGTAATCTTGAGTTTTTCCCTCATGATCAGCATTTTCCTGTACAAATAGCTCACTCTCCACCTACAAGTTAGTGAAGAAAATACCAAATTCTCACGTTGAAGTTAAAAGTGGCTATGGTTTCTTCAAAACATCATACTCAGAGGAAAGAAAAAAAGCTTAGTGTTTCGTTTAATTTCTTCCTCCATTGTTGATGGACGATAATAAGGATTTGCTTCATTGGACAGTGGTAGATTTAGTGGCAGATTTCAGAGTACATTTTAACAGCCGCCTTTTGACTAATTGCTTTACCGCTAACGATGGCACTATTTATTTTTTTTATTTAACCTTCGCAAAGTTTTGACTGCAGGAGAAAAATAACATCCCAATGGAAGGCTGTGATATTTATTTGCCAACGGGTCTGCACAACGTTAGCGTAGTGGTAGTTGCATTGGATGCACAGCATTTCTGCATCTTACCCGTGAAGCATTGGTGTGCATTGTAAAGGTTCATTCTCGTGGATTTTCCTGGTGTGGTTGGTCCTTGCGATTTGATTTTATGATGGAATTGGTGAGGGGAAAAAAAAGATGGAATAAATGGAGACTCCTACCTCAATTGTTGAAGGAATACTGACAGATGGAAGGCTGTGTCTGATGGTCTTCAAAAGGTCATTGCGTTACTTGGAGAGTGTCAACTCAATCGCGTTTGAGCACTGACTTCGACAGATGTGCGTGGCCCGTGTTTCCAGAACAACATCTGTTCGCGATGGAAAAGCCATAGCACCGGGCCTCCTCTCCCACCGTCTTACCGCAGAAAAATATGGCTGGACTTAAAAAGATCTGACCGTTCCTAGTCTTTATGAAGACCCACAAAGGGGCAGGTGCATGGCGAATTCCATGTGCGTTGGGCCACGCAGCTGTCCCCGTGTACTTTTGCTGTTGTTGTTGAGAGACCAGGATTCGAACTCAGTACCTGACGTTTTTTTTGCTCCACTGGCTGGCGCTCTACCAAGTGAGCCACGCCCTCCCTCCCCGTGTGTTTCTTAACTCAGAATCTTGGTGAGACTCTTTTTATTTTTTAAAAACCCATTTCCCCTTCCTGTCAGGATTGGCCCTTCCCAAATCGACCCCGTTTGAGTTTGTGGCAAAAAAACAAACATATATTTGGATTCTTTCAAGACGGAAGAAAAGGTCTAACGCTACTTTAGCCTTAAGAGTTTGTTTCTTTTATTTTTTTTTTGCCCTTATCAATTGTTATTCCTGAAATACTGCTGCTTTACAAAAAAAAAAAGTCTCACAGTCAGATGGTAAATAATAACAATTGAATATTGTAAATACATTTTGTCTTACCTCTCAATAAAAGGGTACTTTTCTATGAGCCATGAGTCCAAGGGTATCTTCATTGTATCAGCCTAAACATTTACCTCATTTGTTGCTTTCAAAATTAGCCGTATGAACCCGGTGCCAATCATCCCAGCTACTCGGGAGGCTGAGATCTGAGGATTGTGGTTCGAAGCCAGCCCGGGCAGGAAAATCCATGAAACTTATCTCCAGTGAACCACCAGAAAAACCAGATGTGGCACCGTGGCTCAAGTGGTAGAGCGCCAGCCTGGAATAAAAGACGCCTTGAATTCAGGCCCCTGGGATTATAGACATACACTACCATGCTCGACCCATTCCCAGATTGAATGCAGTCATCTAGACAAAAAAGGTTTCTGAGAAGCTGAGACGCTCATAAGTTTGAAAACACACATGTATATACTTTTTGTTTTGCTTTGTTTGGCGCTGATCCTTGAACCCAAGGCCTGGGCGCTGTCTCTGAGCCATAGTGTTCTACCACTTGATCTACAGCTCTCCTTCGAACCACAATCCTCAGATCTCCAGCCTCCTCAGTAACTAGGATTGTCATCAGTATGAGCCATCGACACCCAGCTTAAAAGCATGTTTCAAAGGTTACTTTTTCTAGCCAATTCTATTATTGGGGGGGAAAAAACCCGACTATGATCTCAGTATTTGGTTGAACATTTTCCGACTGTTTCCTGAGAGATAATGCTTCGTGCCGAAGACACGTGGGAATAAGGGGGGGGGGTCCATTCGTGAAGCTGGTAAGACTGCTTTCCTTGTCAATTCTCAGCCTGATTTCTCATCGCTCCTCGGGAATTGGGCCGCAAATAGTGGTAGAATCATGCGCGGCCTGCACATTCGCATTTTCTTTTGTTCCCCATCAACGGCTATTTCATAGAGTTGGGGATGGTGGCGCAGGTCTTTAATTCCACCTGCAGATGGTGAGATTAGCGAGGACCCTGATTCCAGGCAGAATGTGGATGAGATCTCCATCGCATACATCTCCACAAATTAGCCAGGCATAGAGTTAGACACCTATAGTCCCAGATACATGAAGAGTAAAGGGTCACAGGGTTCCCAGTTGGTCCAGACTAACTCCTGGGAAAAAAATATATATATTATACATATATAATATATATAAATTATAAATATATGTATAAATATATACATATTACATAAATTAAATATTACATATAAATGTATATGTATATAAATTATATGTCTATATTTATATAGAATATTTACATTTATATAACATATATATATATTCTAAGACCTCATCCAAAAACTGAGCTTGTAAAAGTCTTGAAGTCATGGCCCAAGACATTGCTCTTCACCTGGCACTCCACTACTGCCAAAAATTAAATGAATTAAAAAAAAAAAAACACATTAAGACTTCGACTGTGTGATTGATTTGTGTTTTCAGGAGATATTTTTGGACAGAAAAAAAAGATCAACTTTGGAAATCTCGAGATTGGGTTACTTTGGCAATTCTGTTTGTATGTGTTCAACAGATAGTTTGGGGGATATGTTTTTGGGGTTTTTTTGTATACTTACTATTGCCTATGGATTTTCTTTCTTTCTCTCTCTCTTTCTTTTCTTTCTTTTTTTTTTTTTTTTTGGTTGGTCATGGGTCTTGAACTCAGGGCCTGGGCGCTGTCCCTCAGCTCTTCAGCTCAAGGCTAGCACTCTACCACTTGAGCCACAGCGCCACTTCCAGTTTTCCAGTGGTTCATTGGAGATCAGAGTTTCAGACTTACCTGCCCAGGCTGGCTTTGAACCATGATCCTCATCTCAGCCTCCTGAGTAGCTGGGATGACAGGTGTGAGCAACGGCGCCCGGCCCACAGCCATTTTTGTATGGAGAAGCCAGTGACTGGCTTTCTAAGCTTCAGGCAGCAAAAACTGGGATCATGAGCACTGGTTACAAAATTGAAAAGTCAGAGGTCAATATAGAAAGTTCCAGACAAGCTGAAGGCTCACACCTGTAAATCCTGGCCACTCACCAGGAAGCTGAGATCTGCAGGCTCACAATTTGGGCATCAAATTGTCCATGAGAGTCTTAACCTCCAATGAACCAGCCAAAAGCCAGAAGTGGCGCTGTGGCTCAAGTGGTAGAGCACCAGCCTTGAGCAGAAGAGCTCAGGGACAGCGCTCAGGCCCTGAGTTCAAGTCCTGCAACTGATACTCCCCAACCCTACCCCACCCCCCCAAAAAAAAAACACCATTGGGGGCCAATGGCCTTGGGAATGAAAGGAATCGTTTTAGAATGAACATTCTGGAAGGTTATTTTTGGTCAGAGTACAATATTGATGACATGTCACCAGCTGTTGGCCCCATCTGTGGGAATGAGAGGGGGAAATGGCAGCTTTGACCTAAAGCATCTTCTTGTGGATTCAGCGGCGAGACGGCGATGAGCCACGCTCATTAGCTTTGCTCTGTGGCTGACAACGCAAACCGTGTAATATGGCTGACTCATTTTTCCTGTTCCTCTCGCTGAAATCAATACGAGGTTTTGGAAGAGAGACTAAAGTACTTCACTTAGATGATCCCGGACCTTGAGTCTCCCACGTTACTGCGTTTTCAACATGAGTCCTTTTATTTTAGATTTTTTATGTGCTGGTCCTGGGGCTTGAACTCAGGGCCTGGGCGCTGTCCCTGAGCTGCTTTGGCTCGAGGCTGGCACTTGAGCCACAGCGCCACGTCCAGCTTTTTCCTCAGTGGTTTATTGGAGATCAGAGTCTCAGGGACTTTCCTGCCCAGGCTGGCTTTGAACTGTGATCCTCAGATCTCAGCCTCCTGAGTGGCTGGGATGACAGGCGGGCCCCTGGCGCTACAAACTACATTCCATGTTCCATTTACTGCCAGTGCCCCAACTGTCACGTTCGACTCTGGAGAACCCACATTCTAACTGTTAGCGCTTCCTAGCCACACATCGAATCCAATCACCGAAGAGAGATTCCTGAGATTATTTTTCTCCTACAAATATCCCCCATTCATCCACAAGTACTAGTAACATATATATATATATAT